GCACTCCAGACATGACTGGGGAAGAGCTACTGCCTCAAAATACAGTTAACCAAGATGAAATGAATGGAGCAAAGCATTCAGGACCTTTATTTGCTGGTGGGGCACAACTCAGGATTGGCAGACAATAGAGCAGGCCACTGGCTCAAGTCCAATGGGTGAGTCCGATGGTAGATCCAGTCCCAGCCAAGAGCCAGCAAGCTTTGCCTAAGTGTCCTGTATACGGGAAGCAGGCCACACCCTTCACCCGCGGAGACTCAGTTGATTGGCTGGCTGTTCATCGCAGACCTCACTGTAGCGTTAATTACATGGTATTAGATCTTCTCATGCAGATCACTACATCTCAGCTGCGAAACCACTGAGAATCCTGACCCAGTTGACACAAAACCTGAACTGTCAGAGTCCACTGGTCAACTAATCACCTGTACATCTCCATTAACCATATACATCATCTCTAAATAAAGTTGTTCTTGTGCCTAACACACAACCAGAAACACAGAGACCTCATTTACATCTCATGTGCAAATGAACAAAGCAAAAATAATTGATGCACACATGCAAGAAAAAAATACATACCAATGACAGTCCTCCTTTCTGCAGTGGGTCCCGTGGCCATAGCTGTATTTAGAACCCCTTTCTTCCACCACCCAGGCCCGTTTCCATTTTCTTCCATCTTTCACATGCAGATGAGTCAGATATACCTTACTCCTCAAAGTAATTTTTGCTTTTAAATCTTGAAAGAGGTGTTTCGTAGCAGATTTGTCCAGTGTAGTACATCATTTGACTCCATCATAGATGGAATCCTGGTGTGACACTTGAGTACTGGACTGCTAACCAGAAGGCTAGTGATTCAAACCCACCAGCCACTCCTCAGAAACCCCTTGCAGGGTTGCTAGGAGTCAGAACCAACTCAACCGCACTTGACAACAACAACCCCCATTGAGTGAAATCATTGCCAACGTGATGTGTTAGTTAATTGATCACGATGCTGATTGGTCCAGTTTGAGGATCTCCCCATGCCACCCATTTAGACGTATTGCATATTGAAGGCAGTAGCCTGACCACCACTTAGGTCAGTAACTGCTTCAAGTCATCTTCACTTTGGGCAGTATCGTAGGGTGTTGCTGCTTCGCTTCCAGACCCCATGTTCTTCATCAAGTCCAGTTTCCGCAGCACAGAGACTGAATAAGAAGTATACAGCCCTGATGCACAGATCTCCCGATTCGGAACCACACAGTGCCTTCTGGTTCTGTTTGAGTAATAGATAGGGAGGCTTTAAAATGTTAGTGGAAGATGAAATCAAAAGATAATGCAATTTTTTGGAGCTCCTTCATACACATCACATATTTGGTAACCAGACAAAAAAATCCCACACAGAAACAAACAATATACAAATTAGAGTCCAAGCTAGCAACTGTCTCTGTGTAGTTATCACAGTGGGGCTTGGAACCTTGTAGGCGTTTTTCACGGGCACTTTTTTCCTTGTTGCATAACAGAGTGAAAAGCTGTCCAGACCTACAGTTGTTACATTGGAGCCCATTGTTAATTCATCTCATTGGGTCGCTTCTTTCCTGGTGCCCTTGCACTTTAGCAAGCATAATGTCCTTTTCTAGGGGCTGGTCCCTCCTGATAACATGTCCAAAGTACTGAGGACAATTGAAAATACCATGGCGTGAATCAAGTGCACTTTAGTCCTCAAAGAAGCATCTTTGCTCTTTAACACTTCAAAGAGATCTTTTGCATTCAATTTACACAACGCGGTATGATTTCTTGGCTGCTGCTTCCATGTGGTTTTGGATGTAAGCCAAATGAAGTCTCTGACAACTTCGATCTTTGCTCCATTTACTGTGATATTACTCATTGGTCCAATGGTGGTGGTTTTCATTTTTTCACATTGACGTGCAACATCAGTAATTCTAGCAAGGAAGATTGTATCATCTGCATATCGAAGGTTGTTAATGAGTGAGTCTTCCTCCAATCCTGATGCCCCGTTCATATAATTCAGCTTCTCCGGTTATTTGCTCAGCATACAGTTTGGAAAAGTGTTAAGAGAATACAGCCCTGGTGCACACCTTTCCTGTTTCATTCCATTCAGTAGCCCCTTGTTCTGTTCTTACTGACCTGAGAACCTCTTCCCCACTGGCTTCCTGCCAGCTGCCTTTGAACTGACTCAGCCATCATCTGTGCTAAAAAAGAGCTCAAATCCTCCCATTCCTCAAGGCTTCTTCCGTGTTTCCTCTTACCTCTCTGGCTGGCCCCTTCTCCCAGACTTGACTTTCTAGAGACCCAGGGCAGATCTGGGACACACAGGACAGGGATTTGATGAGCTGTAATTGTGAGGTTGGCCCAGGACTGGGCTCATTGTGTTGTGCGTGCATAGGATCACTATGAATTGGTACCTCTCAATGGCACCTAACAACAATAACAATGCAGTAATGGTGTCAGACCTGCTTGTCTACCTTCAGGGAGAAAACTGAGGATCATCACCAGAATTAACTCAAAGCAGATTCCTGTGAAATGGAGGTCACACGTACCTCCTCTCTCCAACCTTTCTACCAATTCTGACCCCAGACGAACCTCTACCTCATGGCTCTCTCTATTTCCCTACAAGGTTCAAGCATTTGTTCAGTGACCAAGACCTAACAGACAATACTTGTAGGTACGGGGTTTATTAGAGAAGTAACTGGTTATAAAGTCAGCATCCAAATGGAGTTGCAAGCACACTGACAAGTCTGGAAGTCTTCCCCACACAGATAAGCCCGTCACCCCCTTCTTTAATGGATGTGCAGGTCCCTCAGGACGGGACCTCTCAGCCTTGTACCCTCATGACTGGTCATTTCATTAGTATACCAACTGACAAGTCCCCTTAGTGGACTAAGTGAATGCCCTCACTGAACTATTTGGATAATGACATTTTCTGCCCCAGGAACTAGCTTCTTTCCTGGGCAAAAGGAACAAGTGTCAAAAGGAGTAGGGCAAGTGTCAAAAGGAAAATGGTCACAAGTCCTTGGGGATTAGGGAAAATCTCCCCTAAGAATTCTGTCTTAGTTACAGGATGAAGGCCGGCCCCATTTCACCACAACCCAGACTCATTTGGCCACAAACCAAGTGTGAGGTCTTGGCCATGTGATCACAAAGTTATTTATGTGCTAAGAGCTTCTGCCTCCCTTTTCCTTTGGCATGTTTGAGTCAAAATCTGAAACATTTAGGTCAAGGATGGTTAGTTGTAAAATTGGTTGCTATCTGGAACAAGTTGAGAACAGGGATGTGAAATGAATGTCTTGATGTGTTGAGCAGACAGACTCCATAAATGAAATGTGGGACACGGTGAGCTCAGGTACAGTCTCGTGGGAAATGAGTCAATATCTTGATGTTCAGCATAAGGACCTCACACTGGAAATGAGCCAGGAGCTTGACTTGTTAAGCATAGGGACATCACTTTGTGACTCTGGAACTTGGAGGTCTTGTGGAGGTATTTCCCTCCCAGCAAGTGCTCCTGACAATGCCCAGACCCAGGCCCAGTCCTGACAGCCTTTGGGCACGTGACCAAGAGGAACCTGATTAATCCCTTAGGTTAGTCAGGGTCAGTTGCTCCTTGTATCCAAGAACTCCAAATGATGCAAAACTGTTGAAATACGTTGACTCGGACACACTACCCCAGTTATACAAAACAAGGGGAATATTCTTGAGTTCCCCCATCCCCACCCCAACACTTGAATTGGAATCTGTCTACACCAAGCTGCTTTCCTTGGCTGTTCTTCACCAGCCCCACAGACGATGATCCCATTCATTCAGGGCCAATAAAAACGCATCTTGGGGAAACTCGTTGGCAAAAGTATCACTTACCCTCCCCACCGACACCGGCTTCTTATATGGGAAATGGCTTCCTGAAATGCAAACAATGGTCTGAACTATACAGCCCCAAATTGAGAGCTTTCATTCCAAAAAGATTTCTCTGGTTGAGAAGTTTGAAAAATGAATCCACATGTATCTCACATTGCACAATACTGAGAGTGTGAAGACGCAATGGTGGAAATGATTGGGCCACCAGGTGGTGAGTCTGCAAGAGTCTCGTGAGCACAGCAGCAGGGTAAGTCCCACTCAAACGTCTCCCAACACAAGACTTCCACAAACATCTCAAGAGCAGTTGGCCCGAGTGAAGCATCATTGTGCTGAGATCTGTAGACCCACTGGCTTTCAGTGGACTCCGACTCATTACAACCCTACAGGGCAGCATAGAATTGCTCCCTAGGGTTGCCAAGCCTGCAAATCTCTGGAGTCCTGGCGTGGCGCTATAGGATAAGCACTGGACCACAGGTTGGTTTGAACCACAAGGTCAGTGGTTCAAACCCAGCAGCCACTCCTTGGAAACCCTATAGAGTTGCTATGAGTCAGGATGCTCCTTAGAAGCCAAGATGGTGAGAGTTGGTCTCTCATAATTTGGACATGTTATCAGGAAGGACCAGTCCCTGGAGAAAGACATCATGCTTGGTAACGCAGAAGGTCAGCAAAAAAGAGAAAGGCCCCCAATGAGATGGACTGGCACAGTGGCAGCAGCAATGGGCTCAAGTGTAGCAGTGATTGTGACCAGGCAGTGATTGTGCAAGACCAGGCAGTGTTCCGTTCTATTGGGATCCTGGGTTTGGGTGAAGTGGAGAGTCCAAGACGCTGGGCTGGTATTGGCGATCCTTGGAGTACTAGGGGTCCACTTGATGTGTGCTCTCCAGATCTCAAAGATGGATGAGGGGGGACAGCAGAAGTTCGGCCAGGGGCCTGGAAGAAGATGAGTGTCCAAAGCAAGCCTCCTTCACAGAGGCCAACAAACAGGCGAGGAGCAGGCGTGCCAGCAGCGTGGGTACCATCTCTCCTGGTCAGCTTCTCTGTGAGCCCTCGGGTCCTGGCTCCCCACCTTTTGTACCTGCTGGCCTCCTAAGTGGACAGGTCACATGGAGTCCTCTGATGACACCCTGACGTCTCTATTCTGAAGGGCCCCCTTTCCCCAGAGCTGCTCCTCCCTGGCTTCCTGACCCCATGCCAGCGCTTCCCTCTTCCAGATCCTGCCCGTCTGGAGGATCCCAGGGAGCAAGGGAAAACGTGGGGTTTGGACACTGTACCTGATGCATGTTCACAGTAATTCTCAGAGCACCCCCTCCAGAAGCTCCCTGACAGAGTCTGCTTTTGGAGCATGGACACGTGATCTCATAGTTCCGGGCCATCTCCGAGGAAGGTTTGGACTTTTAGAGGAATTGATCAATTTCATAGTATGTACAACAGTTCCTTGTTGTTATTGGCCTGGCCCTTCCTGATATTATGTCCACAGTATGAGAGACGTAATTAGGTCATCATGACTTCTAGGAGCATTCTGGTTGTACTTCTTCCAACACAGATTGATTGATTCTAGCATCCATGGTACCTTTCCAATTCTTCTCCAACACCATAACTCAGAGGCATCCGTTCTTCTATGGTCTTCCTTATTTACTGTCCAACTTTCACATACATATGAGATTATTGAAAATATCATGGCTTGTGGCGGGCACACTTAAGTCCTCAAACTGACATCTTTGCTATTGAACACTTTAAAAGGTCTTGTGCAGCAGATTTGCCTAATACAAACATTGTTTGATTTCTTGACTGCTGCTTCCTTGAGTGTTGATGGTTGATCCAAGTATAATGAAGTCTTTGACAACTTCAATCTTTTATCCTTTTATTTAGAGGTTATTTATTGGTCCAGTGATGAGGATTTTTGTTTTCTTTACATTGAGGTACAACCCATACCGAATGCTGTGGCCCATCATCTTCATCAGTATTTTAAGTCCTCTTTGTTTTCATCAAGCAAAGTTGGATCATCTGCATATCACAGGTTGTTAATGAGTCTTCCTTCAATCCTGATGCCACGTTCTTCTTCATATAATCCAGCTTCTCAGATTATTTGCTCAGTGTACAGATTGAATAAATATGGTGAAATAATACAACCCTGGCACACACCTTTCCTAATTTTAAGCCATTCAGTGTCCCCTTGTTCTGTTAAAAAAAAAAAAAATGCCTCTCGATATTCATACAGGTTCCTCTTCAGCACAATAACTTCCAGAATCCTCATTCTCTGCAATGTTCCCCGTAGCTTGTCATACTCCACAGTCGAAAGTCTTTGCATAATCAATCAATCAATCACAGATAAACATCCTTCTGGTATTCTCTGCTTTCAGACAAGATTAGTCTGATGACAGCAATGATATTCCCCCTTCCACAACCTCGTTTGAATCTGTCTTGAACCTCTGGCAGTGCCCTGTCAATATATGGTTGCAGCCGTTTTTTAATTATCTTTAGCAAAATTTTACTTGCATGAGATATTAATGATTTCCACATTGCTTTGGGTCACCTGTCTTTGGAATGGGCACAAATATGGATCTCTGCCAGTCAGTTGGCCAGGTAGCTGTCTTCCAAAGTTCTTGGCAGAGATGAGTGAGTGCCTCCAGTGCTGCATCAGTTTGTTGAAAGATTTCAATTTGTATTCCATTAATTCCAGTAGCCTTGTTTTTTGCCAATGCCTTTAGTTTACCTTGAACTTCTTCCTTCAGTACCTTTGACTCTTGATCACATGCTACATCTTTAAATGGTTGAACATCAATCTTTTCTTTTTGGTTCAGTAACTCTATTTATTTTTTCATCTACTGTTGATGCTTTCTGCATCATTCAATGTTTTGCTCAAAGAATCCTTCAGTATTGCAAGTTGAGGTTGAATATTTTCCTCAATTCTTTAAGCTTGAGAAATGCTGAGCATGTCTTTCCCTTTTGGATTTATAACTCCAGATCTTTGCTCATTTCATTATAATATTTGACTTTGTTGTCTCGAGCTAACCTTTGAAATTTTTGTTAAGTTCTTTTTCCTCTTCATTTCTTCCATTTGCTTTAGCATCTCTACACTGGAGAGCAAGTTTTAGAGTCTCTTCTGACCACCATTTTGGTCTTTTCCCTCTTTTGTGTCTTTTAATGACCTTTTACTTTCTACCTGTATGATGTTCTTGATGTCATCCTACAGCTCTTCTGGTCTTCAGTCTTTAGTGTCTAAAGTATCAAATCTGTTCTTCAGATGATCTCTAAATTCAGGTGGGATGTATTCAAGGTCATATATTGGCTTTCATGGACTTGTTTTCATTTTCTTCAGGTTCAGCATGAACTTACATATGAGCAACTGATGGTCTATTCCACAGTCTGCCCCTGGCCTTGTTTTCACTGATGATATGGTGCTTTTCCATTGTCTGTTTCCACAGATGTAGTCAATTTGATTTCTGTGTATCCCATCTGGTGAGGGCCATGTGTATAGTCGTCTCTTATGCTGTTTAAAGAAGGTATTTTAAACAAAGAAGTCATTGGTCTTGCAAAATTCTACCATGTGATCTCCAGCATCATTTTTTCACTGCTGATCCTTCTTTCCCCCAACCTTTGCATTCCAATCACCAGTAATTATCAATACATCTTGATTGTATGTTTGATCAATCAAGAGTTGATAGAATTCTTCAGTTTCATCATCACTGGCTTTAATGGTTCGTGCATAAGTTTGAATAATAATGGTATTAGCTTGTCTTCCTTATAGGCCTATGGATATTATCCCATCATAGACACCATTACACTTCAAGACAAATCTTGAAATGTTCTTTTTGATGATGACTGTGGCGCCATTCATCTTCAAGTTGTCATTCCCCGCATAGTAAACCATGTGATTGTCAGATTCAAAATGGCCAATACCAGTCCATTTCAGTTTACTAATGCTTTTAGGATATCAATGTTTATGTGTTCCATTGCACTTTTGACAATTTCCAATGTTCCTAGATTCACACCTTGTATATTCCATGCTCTGATTATTAATGGATGTTTACAGCTGTATCTCTTCATTTTGAGGTGTGCCCCATCAGCAAATGAAGGTCCCAGAGGTTTTACTCCATTCACGTCATCACGGCCAACCCTACTTTGAGCAGACAGCTCTTCCCTAATCACAGTCTGAGTGCCTTCCTCCTTGAAGGGCTCATCTTCCGTCACTATATCTGACTATATTCTGGTGTGCTGCGTCATGTTTCAATAGTCAATATTCTGGTGCATCTGACAGTTTCACTGCTATTCATATGGTTTTCAGTGGTCAATAATTCGGAAGTAGTGTGCCTCTCCTTCGTCTTAGTCTGTCTGGAAGCTCAGCTGAAACCTGTAGGGGACCCTGCCGGCGTTCAAAATACCAGTGACATAGCTTCCAGCGTCACAGCAACACGCAGGCCACCACAGCAGGACAAACTGACAGACAAGTGGTGGACACTGACAAATGGAATATGGTAGTTTTTAGAGGCAGTTGTTATTGTTAAGTGCTGTGTAGTTGGTTCTGACTCATAGCAACCCTATATAGGGTTTCTGAGGAGCGGCTGGTAAGCTTGAATGGCCATTTTGTGGTTCAAACTCATCAGCAATACGCCATTTGACTTCTTGACCGCTGCTTCCGTGGGTACTGATTGTGGATCCAGATCGAATGAAATCCTTGACAGCATCAGTGTTTATCTATTGGCTCGGAACCAGGCAGTGTTTCGTTCTGTTGCGCATAGGGTTGCTGTGAATCGGTACCAACTCGGTGGCACTTGACAATAATAACATGATGTTTCTAATTGGGCCAGTTGTGAGGATTTTTGTTTTCTTTCTACTGAGGTGTATATAATTCTTCTAAAAAAATAATTTAAAAAATGAAGCACAACGCTTTCTACTTAAGCAGGTTTGATAATTCATAGCAATGGCCACACAGACAGCAGACTCAGAGTTATGGGGTTTACTAGAGAAGTTAAAGAGGTTGCAATTCAGGGTCAGAATTGGTTCAGGGCACAGTTCTTCCAGCCTACTGCCAATAAACAGCCATACTACACACCACCACCATAAACATCAACCTGAAGGCACTCGCTGGCCTCTGGTTCCATAGGTCAGCAAACCTCTCCCCCTGGGAGAGGCACCCCACTCTACAAGCAAGCTTCCTGCCCAAGGTCACTCAGCTTGACTTGCTCTGTGGGCTGGGAAGGCCGCTGCTCTGTCTTGTGCTCTAGTTCTGCTGCTGCTGCTACTCTGCCCTTCCTCCAATGCACAGGGGTCTCGGGGTCCAAAGGACACAGTCCACTCCTGGTTCTTCTTCTTCGAAGATAATGAGATCCCCGCTCCAGTTTCCGAGATGGTTCATTTTTATACCCACGCTAGAGTTTCCGGGTTTTGCCATTTCCATGAGCTGAATCACGCCATCCTATCAGTATCTTCTGCCCCCTCCTCTCACCCAGAGCCAACAGGGCAGAAACGCCGTTTGTTGGGAATTGCAGACTGTGGCTAGAAGAGACATTAGATAATTCACTTCACCACAGATCCATTCTGAAAGCTCTGGCCTTCATTCAGTAAGTGCTTCCAGTCTCCTTCACTTTCATCAAGCAAGGCTGTGCCGTCGGCATACCGCAGGCAACTAATGAGTCTGCTCCAATCGTAATTAATGCTGCGCTTCTCTTTTCATTTGCTCAGCATACAGATCGGATCAGTCTGCTGTAAGGATACACCCCTGACTCACACCTGTTGATGCTTTCTGCATCATTCAATATTTTGCCCATAGAATCCTTCAATATTCCAAGTCGAGGCTTGATTTTCCACCCCCCTTAGTTCTTTCCGTTTGAAAAATGCTGAACATGTCTTCCCTTTCTGTTATCTAACTGCAGGTCTTTGCATATTTCATTATAATATTTGACTTTGTCTTTTCATTTTAAATCATGTTGTTCTGCTCGAACAACTGCCATGCGAGAATGTTTAATTTCATAACTATTTGACAATCTGTGACAAGCAACGAAAATACTCCCATGTTAACAGTGACGTCTGAACCCACACTTTCTACCCACTTATATTCCAGGAGTTTTCCCAAGTACAACCACGTAATCCTTAAAGCGTCTTCTACTGTCTCGGATTCACAGTACTTCTTTCGTGCACTAGAGGGCGATAGGTCTAAGGGAATCTTATAACCCACTCTGAAGTGGAAACTGGATTTCAGCTTCACAGGACAGCAAGCAGTCTATTCATGACTGCCTTGGCTGAGGTTGTAA